GGGGCAGATAACAAACCCCCTTAAAGTCCTTATCTTACATGAAAAACTTTTTTTGGCAGTTGATTTCTGGGGGGTGTATGCAACAGATAGTCAATGTATGTTTCTTTATTTCATACTGAATAATATGTAAAAAAAGGAAAAATATTAGGTCCAATAAAAAAACTTTGCTTCTGGAAGCAGGCAATTTCGTGACGTCACGTGTGGTTCCCGGCTGCCGCTGTCTGGCTCCCTGCTGCCGTCCGGATCGACAGCCAATGCGCGCAGCCAGCGAGAGTTCACAACNTAACTCATTTTGCTTTCTATTCAGACTGCAACAGGTTGCAGGACATCGTTAAGAAAGATATGTTTCAATGTGTTGTAGGATAGTTTTAGTGTATTGAAAAAACGATGTCCTGCAACCTGTTGCAGTCTGAATAGAAAGCAAAATGAGTTATATCATAGCAATAGCTTCCATGTTGAAGATAGACAAACTGAACAGAGTGAATGTTTCATGTAAGATAAGGACTTTAAGGGGGTTTGTTATCTGCCCCAATGACAATAGTTATTCTAGGAATATCCTTATAGGGTGTTTTTTAAACCTCAAAATCATACACCCTGTATTTAAGGACCCCATGTTTATGTATAGAAACAGTGGTAACTGAAAGATACCCTTATGCTGATAAATATATTCAAAACAATGATCAAACAACTGGAAATCACGCTTTATTTAAAACTGTATGGATTGGTGGTTTTCAAGCATATTTTTATTTATTTATTTAATTGTGAATTTTGAATGTCCATGTTTGTACTCGTGTTTTTAAAATATTTTGAGATTTGGTTGAGCAGGGTATACTTGTACTTTTACTAGTCCTTTTATTAGAGATGTGTCTGTTGTTTGTGTTTGTTTTTAGTGTCAGGATGGAACCCTTGTCTTTTTCTCTGCAAACAGAATCTACCTACGGGTACAAATAAATAACCTGAACCTGATACCAAGTACCTAAGTACCCAAGTAGTAAAGCACCTACAACGGAAGTGAGTACAACATAGCAATTCATAGAAAACTAACTTTTTAATTCATCAAAACAAACTTCACTTACTTATACTATCATATCGGGGAAAGGAATACTTTAAGATCATGCAAGATGGGTAGTGGTAGTTACGTAAAAACATGCATTTTAGAGCCGTCGCATCTTATCAACAAAAGGCATGTCTGGACAAAACAAAGAGAAAAGGGGCTGATCATCACCTCGGTTCTCCATCGTTCACAGCTTTACACAGCTGACTTTCAAGCCTCCTCTTCTTTGGATCCATCACCAGCGTTATCCGTTATAAATGATCTTTAATCGTGTATCTGCATCCATTGGTTAGCCCATGGCCGAGGTCCCTGTATCAGGATCACCTTTAATCGAGGCTAGCTAGCTAACATAATAGCGACTGAAGACATGCAGCAACAGTTCCTGCAAACATCAAACTATATTTGTTATGAACAGTAAGCCACCATTCAATGTGTAATATAGTTTGTTTTCCCTAAATACTTGAATACATGTCCTAGTATCGTTTTCTAACTATGAAGATCCGTTGTTTATACACGTAATCTTTGTTTTCGAGGATCCGCACAATTATTTTTTATTGAAATTCCCTCCTAACTCCTACTTTCTGCAAGCAGGCGGAAGTCCCACCCTCTGGTGTCTTCTTCTTCTTCTTTAGTGTTTATTGGCGGTTGTCAAACCAATTTGTAGGTGCATTACCGCCACCAACTGGCAGCGGATTATTATGTACATATCGTCAATTTAATGTTGACATATCTGGCTGAATAACATGCCTGTTTATGACTTTACCCAGTTTAAGTTAAGGACTAACATAACTACGAGCTAGAGAGAATCTCGGACCGGGGCGAGCAGAGCTTCTTTTATTGTCTTTTTTTTCTCCGTCACCGGTGGTGCAGCGACCGACGTGTTTTAAAAGTGAATTTAGTCTTTAAGCGAGCTTTAACAGCATGATATGATATACAAATAAAACAAGAGCAAAACAAATCTTGCCCTTGAATGTAACCGGACACCTGTTTTTATTTTACCATTAATTTAAATATTAAACCTCACCTGTAAACAATGTTTGGGGGGGACAGTGAAGGGAAGTTACAATGCAGTTAACTCCACCTTATATTATGAAATACTTGTACTTGAGTAGGCAGGCCTGTTTCCATTGTAAGGTACTTTAATACACTATAACTGAGAGTAAATTATTAAATAGATAGTATGAAGGTCGAGTTTTTCATACAAAATATAGGCTATTTATACATTTCGATTGATTGATTACATTTAAATGCATAATCTGCATTTGTACTTGTTTTTATTCATCTTTAATTTGTATTGTATGTAGTCATCAGTTTTTCTTTGAATCAATGTGTAATCTTTTACAGCTTGTTTATTAAATATTTATTATAAACAAATTACATATTTCTCAGTTTTTAACGGGACAGTATTCTCAACTTGACAGACACTTTGGAAGCAACAAAGGTCAAGAAGTTCGACTCACAAACTGGCTCCAGTGTGAAGGAAGGGCACCGCCAAAAAGAAGACCAGACCAAGGTGATGACTGAGACCACCATCCAGCTCCCAGAAGTGAATGTTGCAACTGTCACACAATGGTGAGTAAATAAGCACACTACATATACTGCAAAACATGTATACTTACACTGTAATACTCAGCCAATAAAATGATTTACTGTTCAAAATAATCCCAACTCTTTTTCATTACAAATATTCCCTTTTGTTCATTAATACTTTACATGTTACTTGTTAGACGCTTTTATCCAAAGCGACTTACATACTCAATACTGGGCAATCCCCACAGGAGCAATTTGGGGTGAAGTGTCTTGCCCAGGGACACAACGACATGCTGACTGCAGTGGGGTTTGAACCACCTGATCCGAACACCAACGCTCAACCCACTGCACCACACGCCTCCTAATATTGATTGTTTCATGTTTTCGCAGGTTCAGCAGGCGTTGCAGGTCTCAGGAAGAGCAGATCCTGAAGCAGGGTATCCCCGCCCCTGACGCTCCCATGGCAGGACCTGAGAAGCTTCTTGTGGCAATGCAGAAAGGGACATCTCTGTATCCTGGCAGTTTGGCTGAGCCTCACACCTTTGTTCTGCCACCAAACACTGCTGGTGAGGCAAAGCTCCAGAAGAGATCCCAACCAGTGGCCATCTCACAGGTCCCACCACCACCTCCATACTATGCTCTTCCCTTCCTTGCACCGACTCCACCCTTCTCAACACCATACATGGTACCATCTGTGCAGCTTCCTCAAGTGCCTGGACCCTCACAGGTTGCACCGACTCCACCCTTCTCAACACGATGCTTCTCAACATGCCATTGCCATCAGCTACCTTCAGGCGCTAACATCCGGTCAGAGTAACGTGCCGTACACCACACAGCAGTACAGGAAAATAAAAGAGGAGAGGGAGCAATCTGGATCAGGCAAAAGAAAATATGTCAAAAAGACAGACGCCATCATTTGCAAACAAAGACAGGAAGCCACCAGCCCACTTACAGTACTTTGGCAATTAGTACTGTAAAGAATCAGAGACCCAGTCCTATGAGGACTGGAGGGCTGTGCTGGAGCAAAGAGGGTATGGGGAAAAAAGAGAGGGCATGCACCTTAAATCACCAAATGTTGTTAGCAGGTGCAACTTGTTCACTTTGTTATATTTTGCACTGTTTTTATTGTATAGTTTTATTTTACACTTTACTATACATATTGTAAGAATTGTTGTTGCTATTATTACTGTTGTTTTAAATATATAAATACATATAAAACAAGTATGGATGTTTCTGTTTTGAATATTTCATNTATTTTTAAACTAAATAAACTACCCAGTATGAACTATTGTATAGCCCTTATTAGAATCATTCGGTCCTTAAAGTTTTAAAATGCACTAAAAGCCGAATTTAGATTTATTTTTCTCTCTCCATTCATTCTACTGAGCGAGAGTGGGAGCTTGGGGGGCGGGGCTTAATGGGGGCCTGCTCTGTGACTGCACATACAGGTTCTTCTGCTCTGACGCCCAGGCATGACGGGTAATCTGTGACGTTTCGCTCTCTCAAAAGTTGGGCCATTTTGTCTTCCTGCACCAATGAGCAGCTCTCATAGGAAAGAACGAGACCCCGCCTCCCACGCTGTATCCTGTTCTTATTATACACCCATGACTATAATACGATGGCTACAGGACGGCATTGCGAGGGCTTCACGTGGTCGTGTTGCCTTCCTAAGACAATCGGGCAGCTTCTTGTTTCCTTCGTATTGTCTTCGTTAGGCGAAAAATGCCCGATGGCACCGATGATTACACGAAGTAAAGACGAAGATGACACGATTTGACCAGATGCCCTCACGCTGGCCTTACGAAGGGCAAAATGGAAACACAAATTCAACACGAAAATGAACCTTCGCAAGGTCTTTCGGCAATTTTTTGGAATGCCAAAGATTTTGCCACCGCTCACAAAGTTGCTGCCGGAGCCTGAGAAACTCCACCGGCGGTCATACGATGGCTTAAGATGCCCTCACGAATGGCCCGATGTTGTTAAGATCAGAGCCGAATTTGAACATTTCCTTTATCGTGTGTACATCTGGTGTCAATTTCGGGACAGTGTGACGCAGGATTTACAGAAATATGTTGACGTTAAGGCTTACATCTATCTCTGTGTTATGAACTAGCTGGTAAGCAATGTCGCGGCAGCCGTCTTGGATAGCCTCAGAGCTGAGGTGGGAGTCAGAATACCATCCTCGGTTGGCAGTGTGAGCGTAGTTGGCCCCAGGAGAGGCATGCTGCACTCTGGTTGTAGTGACAATTCCTACAGATTTTCCTATGAAACAGAGCAGCTCAAAATGTGAAACAAAATGTATTTTGAAGACAGATATGATCCACAGAAGATGCAAATTATTTTTTAACAATATGCACATTTTAGTTCAGATAATCTGTGTATCAATAGCACTGTAATTCATATTTTTCAAAGAACATTTGATTACTTTTAAAGATTAGATCTATGGTTATGTAAAAATGATAGATGTTGTGAGTGACAGACGTCTTACATGAGAATAACATGAATAAACCAGCAAAATAAAGAGCGAATCTGTCTGAGTACATTTCCTACGTGAACCACACATCAACAAGGAAGCATCTATTGAAGTCGAAATAAAACAATATAAAGTTAAGGTGTTTGAACCTGAGCTCACCTGCTATCTTGGCGCGGTGCAGAATAGATGTGACTTCGTTTCCGTAGGTAGCATTACAGTTGTATCTTGGAGTTGCGGCACTGACACCCAGAGTGCCGTAGTTAGCCTTCACACCACATAAGTAGGCTGTGGCTGTGCCGGCGCTGTCAGGCATCTGCTGGTCCACGTTGTATGTCTGAAGAGGCAAATATCTAAGGCATTTAGTAGATGCTCCCATTCATTTAGTATATCAATCTAGCACTTTCATCATACTGTATGTCCAGTCTATGGTGGACAAATGTCATTTTCATATTATTCATGCAGACAACACTGCATGCATTTAAGAATTATTTTACCATTTACAAGATTTGGTAAAAGATGTGTTAGTCTGTGTTACAGGCTGAGTCACAGTCAAGATAAATATAACTGGCTTTCTGTGTCACGTAGGAATTCTATGTTGGTCATGACATATCATAACTATCTCCAGCCTAAAAATGCAGCTTGCTCACATTGTTGTTGTTGTTGATTTCTAATCAAACTGTCAAATGTCAGCCCAAGCCAAACAATACCATGACAACCTTTTTGTTGAGAGGCTGTAATAGTAAATCACTTTGAACAGCCTTGTACTGTATGTCTTACAAGAAGGCCATACATCTCAACCTCATTTAGAGAGTTAAAAGGTCCGCTATTATACTGTTTTTAATCGATATATTACATGTCTCAGATATATACAAAACATGTCTCTGAAGTGTTCTGCTCGAAATACCAAACAGATCATGCATTGTAGCATCCCATAATCCCCTCTGTTTCAGGCCTGTTTCAAAAGTGCTGATTCTGTGTCTGTTACTTTAGATGAAAAATAAGGAGCCCCTCCCCACGCCCCTCTGAGAGATATTTGGTTAAAAAGAACACAATGGTGCTCTAGGAGGAGATTCAGGTGATAAGGTGGGGGGTTGACTTTGGTCGGTGATTGGCTAATGGCTACACAACCCAAAACAATTTGATGACATCATAAAGTGGCCAAAATCTGATCATTTTCATTTTTTTTAAAAATGGATCAGGACAAAAAGAGAGCAAATCTTTTTTCCTGAAACTTTCAGAATCTCTTTACACAGAGGTTCATGTGTATGTATAAAAAACATGAAAAAGTGTATTTTGCATAATAGGTGACCTTTAAATGCACATTCCTCAGGAGGACTCGGATTGTGATTTTCAGATTGGGCTCACCTTAGAGAGTGCCAGGTGAGGAAAGGTATCCATAACCAGACTGGTCTCTTCCCCAGAATGTCCTGCCAACTGGCCTTTGAGGATCCGGGCAGCAGTCACTGTCGGTATCCCCATACCTGGAAGCAGGTGGAAACACACCTGAGTGTTGGATAACATAGGCAAGGCAGGCACAGGGCTGCCATTGTGCTCCATGAACCTCAGAAGGCTCAGCTGATATGACAGTTTAAAAAGCATTGAAAGACATCCAAGTTATTTACAAAAACAAAACATGCCAAGCAAACAGCATTATTCCACATATCTTCTTCTCTAAGAACTTTATTATACTTATTTTATATTGCATGATATATTCAGTGCATTTGGGAATTTCCGTCATATTGCCGGTAAGAAAGATTTTTTAATTCCTCTATACATTTACTAAAATTGCCTACTTTTCTCTGGGTATGAGGTCATTATGTTCATAGTTGACTCAAGTTAGATGCCTTTGAAAATCTACTATTTTATTTGACAAAAATCAGCAAAATGCATTATAAAATGACTGTGAGTTGTGCGAGTTCCAAATCAAATATATCATTCTTCCTCATGAAGTTATATTATTGTCACAATGCCAATAACTTGTATTCATATAATGCTTCTAATCATTCGTAGTCCCTGATACAATCTTAAATGTGCTGCTATCAGCAGATGTGGGTTCAGGGTGGAGGCAGCACTAACCATAAATCTATAATTGATTTATAAATGATGTGTGTGTGTGTGGTCCTGGGTCATGGCAGAGGTTTAATGGTCATACCAGAAAATATCAGCTCATTTTACATTGGATTATTTTCTATTTTTCCATTTCAATTTTTTCTTATCATCTAAATGTTGTGTAAAATTTGTTGTATTATTTCTTGATTTATAATATTATAGTATCCTCTGGTAACCAGTCATCCTTAGAGTTAAGAGATTTCAGTATTAATGGGACTTGAAACTTATTTAATATACAAATAGTTTTCAAAACTTTAGCTATCTATTAGACCTTGTTGAATTCTTTGCAATGATTTATCATTTTGAGTGTTCAGTTTAGGGCACATGTGGAAATAGCTTTTCCTGCAGTGTAGACTGTGGTTTAGCCTCAGTTCATTTTGTAATGCTTGGCTTTCTAAGCAGTCATAACTGCTGGTGATCAGATGTCACACATTAATCTCTTTCTTCCCATAAATCCATGCTTTTTGGAGAACAAATAGCGGTTTGGTTTTCTATTGTATTCTCTCGCTCCCTTGGTGAACAACACCACAATTATGATGAGACTCACAATTGCAAGCTATAATGGCCTATTCTTACCTGAACACACAAACTGAAGTGAAAGGAAACACAAATGAAAGAACCCTCTGAAATGCTGGGAAAACTCAGAGTCAGACTCACCGTCTCCGAGGAAGAGGATGAGGTTTTTGGCTTGGTGGACATCAGGCTTTACATTCAGGGCAGTGTGGAGAGCCTGTCTCGCCTTGTTGTTCCAGTAGCTGGCATGGAGTTCTTCCTCTAAAAGCAATATCAAGACAAAATGATAATGTCATCCACATCAAAAGTGGGTTTGTTAAATGGAATCCTATTGTAAGTCCATATGAGCAATCCATTGGGAACTACAATAACAGGTATGTAAAAACCAATTAGCTCATCACTGCCGATTAAACTAGCAAATTCATGCAGGACAGGTCATTTCCCCACCATGCTAGAACCAATTAGACACAGACATCTTGGTAACAAATTAGTTATATAACTAGTGAATATTTAAGAATGGTTAAGAGAGCATCAGCATGATGACATGATGACAAAAATGACAAAAAAGATGCCAACCTATTTATTCTTTATCTGTAAGTTGATTTATTTTTTTACTGACAGTTTGGCATGTCTTTGTGTTGCCATTGGAATCCAGTTAAAAGTAAAAAAGTAAAACCTGAAAGCAGTCGGCAGTCTTAGTTTCCGCAGATATCACAGATATCACATTTTTGTCTAAGAGCAGCAATATGTAACCGATCCTTACCTGAAACAGACACAGTCCAATGCAACGAAATCAAAATCAACAATCCCGTAAAAATGTGTCTAAGTTTGCTGGCCATGGTGCTGGTGATATGTGAATTAAAAAAATTGGAAAAGTTTCTGTCCTCACACCGGTTATAGCTGCAGTCAAGGAGCAAAGGGCACATGGAAGAGCCCATTAACGTGAGCAACAAGTTATATATGAGCACACACACACACACACACACACACACACACACACACACACACACACACACACACACACACACACACAGACACACACAGACACACACACACATAACATAACTTTATAGGTATCCAACATTTGTGTGGATGAGGTAACAGGTGTACAGGCAGTTTGCTGGCCATGGTGCTGGTGATATGTGAATTTAAAAAAATTGAAAAGTTTCTGTCCTCACACCGGTTAGGTTATAGCTGCAGTCAAGGAGCAAAGGGCACATGGAAGAGCCGATTAACATGAGCAACAAGTTATATATGAACCATGCATGATGAAAGAGCAGTGGATGACAACAGTGTAAAGAAGAAACCAGAAGTGATTCAGTAATAATAACATAACAAAATCAGGAGTGGACACAATGGATCAGATGGTTCCCTGAACGGTTGGTGCCGGAGTTCACATGCAAGCGGAGAACATGGAGGAGGCCCATGGTGCTCTGGCACAATGTGCTCGATGTTGCCACCTTCAATGCCTACTCCATCTTTACTGCACCCTGATTACATGGGTGGTGTGACAGCGGCGTTTCATCAAGGAGCTGGGCAAAGAGCTGAGGAGCATAGTGCGTAAAGCTCTGCTGACTCAATAACTGCAGAGTTCCAGCTCTGGCATTAATATCAGCACCAAAACTGTGCGCCGGGAGCTTCAGGGCATTTTGGACAATTCTATGCTTCCAACTTTGTGGAAACAGCTTGGGGAATATGAAGGTAGATTTGGTGCAAAACGCGAGAGCGTGTAAAACCTGATGTGAGCACTTGCAGAAAGAAAATCTGAGCTTGTGTGCATACATTTACACTTGTATAAAATATCCACGTACCTGTGAACCAAATTTGAAGTCACAGAAGAAGAAAAAAACGTTTTGTAGCTTGTAGAAACATTTTTTACTTAGTGATGAAATGTTCTCTTGCAGAAAAATATATATATATTTTAATATATTTTCCATTACAACTGCAACTTGGTTATTACAACCTCTCAAATCAGTCATTACAACTTCACAAATCTGCTCTGTGGCACTATAAATCGAATCTGCGGCCTTTACTTTTGCTACACTTCTTGCGATGAATGTGTCGCTAAAGTAATTTACACCTGTAGATCTGGGGGGAGGAACATGGGGAGTAAGGGGGATTGGAGCGAAGGGGCGGAGCTATCAGAACGAGGAGGCGGGTCAGTCACACAGCCATGTCAGGATGAGCTGGATGACTGCAGGGCCCTGCACAGTAGTCAATTGTGTGTGACTGACCCGAGCTTGCGCCTCGTCGTTCTGATAGCTTCGCCTAATGACTGATTTGAGAGGTTGTAATAACCAAGTTGCAGTTGTAATGGAAAATAACCTTAACTTTTTTTTCTTCTTCTGTGACTTCAAATTTGGTTCACAGATACCATACATGGATATTTTATACAAGTGTAAATGTATGCACACAAGCTCAGATTTTTTTTCTGCAAGTGCTCACATCAGGTTTTACACGCTCTCGCATTTTGCACCAAATCTACCTTCATAGGGGAAGGCCTTTTCTGTTCCAGCATGACTGAGGCCCACAAAGCAAGGTCCATAAAGGCCTGGTTGTGTGAGTTTGCTGTGGAAGAACTTGACCTCAATCTTGAACACCTTTGGGATGAACTAGAATGGAGAGCCAGGCCCTCTCGTCCAACATCAGTGTCTGACCTCACACATGCTCTTCTGGATAAATGGGCAAACATTCCCACAGACAGACTCCAAAATCTTGTNTTTGGACCAAACAATAAATGTGGCTGGGTGGTGTGTGTGTTTGGTCTTTTTAGCCCATATTTTTTCATTTGCCCTTGTAATGTGCTTTTTGAGGTGGGGCGTGCCCTCCATGCGCCTCTTCATTCGCTATATTGACAAAAGTATTGGGCCACCTACACATATCACCTACAGGAGCTTTTATGACATCCCATTCCAAATTCTTAGGCATTAATATGAAGTTGATCCCCCTTTTGCAGCTATAACAGCTCACTCTTCTGGGNTTGGACCAAACAATAAATGTGGCTGGGTGGTGTTGTGTGTTTGGTCTTTTTAGCCCATATCTTTCGCCCCACCTCAAAAAGCACATTACAGGGGCAATGGAAAGATATGGGCTAAAAAGACCAAACACACAACACCACCCAGCCACATTTATTGTTTGGTCCAAAACACTGATAAAATAATTATTTTTAACACGATTATTATTATAGTATGTTTTGTTTATCATTGTTATCACATTTAATGAATACTTGGAATATTAAATGATTAAATAAATGGATTTCCTAAAATATAGCTAAGAAAGACTCAGCCATGCATGAAAAAACATTGTCATTTTGACCCATGTTGTCCCTTAGAAGGGGTATGCATAGCTTGAGTATCAAAGGGTTAAGATAGACACAGCTTTTAACTGCTCTGTTGGGTAAAATAGAATGACCTCTATGATCTTAACGCCATGAAAATGTGTTACTGAAATGTCACAGGCTTCGATTTTTGTACTCAGTGTATCAATTGATGGTAAAATCCACTTTACTCCTCTGAGGCTTATTCTTTGAGGCCATGTATCCGATTTTGGAAACAGACCATCTTAGTTTGTATAAGAGATACTGTGTGACAATCATATTCTAACTGATCTCCTCACAATTGTGTAAATCAGCTGAGTCAGATGTTTGCATTGATTGATACATAGAAACCAAGCGTTGTGCGATGCTTACATTCAACTTAATTTTGTCAAGTATTTTTTTATTTGATCCTGAAATATTTATGTATGGGAAATAGTAAACCCTTTTCATAAAATGTCCCAAATATCAATTGCTCTGTAGCATTTATGAAACTAAGGGCCCTATAAATGAGGTGTTACCTTATTAATAATAATAATCAAATAATAATTGCCATCAAATAATTGTGACTCAAGAAGAACGCATGATTTCTTTCATCCTTATTTAAGTAACATTTGCAAAAAACACAGTATAAAAATACATTGACAAAAGTTTTGCTTACAAAATACATTCATGTACAATCTAAATAGATTACATATCAAGTGACCTGGAAAGAGAACAGATTGTCTTTATGGAAACAATGAGGTCAAGATACAAACTTGATAAAATAATAAAAACGAAGAGCTACATGTTTCTCAATCATGAGGGTATACAGCATCTTCATGATTCGTGTAAGGTCTGTTGGTGTCGCAGCTTGTCATGGCACGATGGCTGTAGTTCAGGTTTCTGATATCATCATTTAGTCATTTATTCCATCCACACAGTCACAGCCATATAGATCAACATCTATGTGTACTTTCTAAATGTCCACAAGCTGAACAGTGAGCCCTCAGTGTGCTTGTTTGTTTCAAGTTATTCCTTGTAAATCCTCAGAGGTGTAAAAAGGATGTGTAAGCAGCTCCTCGTAAATGCTTAATAGCTCTGATCAAGCAGTATCTAACTTTGGAAAACAAGAAGACAACTGAAATCTAACTAACTAAAACGAGTTAGTGCAAGTTAGTAGTCATGTTGCAATACAGGTTTTAAATAGTCCTTTTGAAGTAAATACAGACAGCTCTGTAATAGCAACCGTTGCATGGACTGTTTCTTAAAGAGTTGTTTGCATATTTGTTTATGTTCTACCCTGCCTGTTTGCTCATTTGAATGTACACTTTGTGATCAGGATGTATGAGGTTATATGTGTACACATACAGCATTGCATATGTCTATCCCTGCAATCTGACCTGAATGCATTGTCGTTGTGTGTGCATGTTCTCATGTATCAATGTTTAGTGCATTAAGTGTCTGATTGCTGCATGCATTCATCGTATTTGCGTCCTTTTTGTTGTGTTGATGCAATGTGTTTATGGGGTCATCTGAGTAACCAAAGGAGGCTAAGCAGGCCAAACAAGAGGCTCGAGGCTGTGTTTACGCAGCTGCTTGAGGTGTGGCTGTGGGGATGAGGGGGGCAGTCTGTGTAGGGCTCTAAGCAGGCAGCGTAGGCCATGACATGCGCCACGTAGTTCTGCTCTTTCACCCCATGGAACAGGTGAGCCATTGGGCCTTTGGCATAGATGGCCACATCCTCCCCGCCGTGCGTCTCAGAATCCAACGGGACGGCAGCCTGCTGCATGTACTCCTCATCATCTGGAGAGAAATTTGTAACAAAGCACTGTTTCAACCAACTTGGATCATCAACTGTTAATACAACACAGAAGCTTTTATGTCACCACAAATATGATGTCAGAGAATACCTTAGCAACCCATGTCACTGTTAGCTTGTAAGCACTGGATTCCCTTTGTTTGTCATTCAAATACCACCCACAGGGCACCTTGGAATAGTTTTAAGATTGCATTCACCTTTGGCTGTTGCCCATAACTTGTGTGTCTTCAAATCTTCTGTAATCTACCAAATTACATTTAATTACAACATTTAAAAAATCAAGAACGTTGTTTAAGTTATTTACTTAAATGACAGCATTTACTGCCTGATCTTTCTAAAGTGTACAGACAGATTCCAGAACTTTTTTTTATGTAAACAAAGTGTAATCATTGGTGTGCTCTAGATGAAAGGTCATTTTGCAGTTTTGTGAATTTCTCATTGCCATCTTAATGTGTTGTCTAACTACATCGACTTCTTTAAAAAAAATTGCAATAGTGTTTTGGCCTTATGGTTTTAATCAGAATATAAATGCTGTCTTTTACATTGCTTCATTTTTCTCCAGATGGATACTTAAAGTTTTAGAAATGAATGTCTCACTTGTAATTGCATGTTTACTTAGGGTGCCAGATGGGTTGAGTGTGCGCTTTTGAGACACAGATATTAAACAGTCCGTTCAAAAATACAAAATTGTGGATTTTAAAAGGTAAATCATGCCTGTAAATATTT